GGCCGGAGTTGGATGGTATTGATCTGGACAACGTTTACTTTCAACAAGACGGCGCTTCGTGCCACACAAGCAACGAAACCATTGCTCTTTTACGGGAAAAGTTTCCTGACCGTGTTATCTCTCGAAGAGGTGATCACAATTGGCCACCGAGATCTTGTGATTTAACACCTTCCGACTTCTTTCTTTGGGGCCACGTGAAAGATAAGGTCTACGCCAACAGCCCAGCGTCGATTCAAGACCTCAAAGATGGAATTCGTGAGGCTATCGAGGACATAGGGCAGCCACTTTGCGATTTGGTTATGCAAAATTTCATTAAAAGGATATGGTCCTGTAAGCGTGGTCCTGGTAGCCATTTGGCTGATGTTATCTTCCATTATTAACGGCATACCTTCCTCTTTATTATAAAAGAAACAGCCGATTATTTCTTAAAAAAATGCATTTTTCTTTGAATACTAAAATAACACCTCTTATTGGAAAACCCTATACACCCGAGTTTTTATTTTAATTATTTACTGTATAGGACGGCGGTGTAGGACTAATGTACGATAAGTTATCATCCGTACCATTTACACTATACAAACACGTAAAAATGATTTTTTAACTAGGCTGGAAATCATGTACTCGTCTCGCTTGTTTCTGAACTGTTATGTGTGAAAAAGAATCAATGTTTATTTTGCTATTTTTATCAAAATTGATAAAAATCTTAAAATTATATATTGATTAACTTAATTATAATATTAAATAATAATATTAAAAACTACATAAGTACTGTTAAAAAAAATCTCATAGATTTACAATTTTATTTCATATCCACGAGCATTATTCTATCATTTAGAAATTTCAAGGTTACGACTCATAGGCTAATAAAACTGAATATACAGCCAGACTGTGGTTTTTGAATTTGTAATATTACTTCTGATTTTAATTGTGCTTATGCTAGGTAATTTTAACATATGCACGCTCGCGATGAAGTACGTATTCACCCACATTTGTTTATATATTACATATAGAATAGAAGGTAACATTCTAACAACTAGGGAAGAAATTAAAAATAGCTCAAAAGCCTTTATTCTCTCAAAAGTCTTTTTTATTTTTCTTGTCACTTCTACTACTGAGATGAATTTAAATGAAATCTTTAAATCGGTTTGAAGCCAAAAAAATTAATTATGCGTTGCATGCATTAATATTATGTCTTGATAATATTTTAGGTTGGGTAAATAATACTTAATATTCTTTATTTTTCTGTTAAACTAATTTAAAATCAACCGTATACAAGGGATGTTTAAATCCACTGAACACATTTCTGATTTTTTTGCCTTTTCACAACGACGTGCGATACAAACCATGATCAACTTGTAAAAAAGTAAAAAGGTACGAAAATATTTTCCAAATAAAGCGGCGCACCGCTCGCCCGCCTTGCCCAATAAAACATAACGCTCGCAATAACAATGAGCGCCCGCCTGCCTGACCCACGGCCCACGAACTGCAAACTCAAATTAAACATCTTATGAACAGAAACATCTTGCAAAGATCCTCTTCATTAGGTCCCGCAAATTGCGCGGTGGGGTGCGGTGCGCGGGGGCAGTGACACGACGTGAACACCACTCCGCCCTCCGCACCCCGCTCGGCTCGCTCCAGCCTCTATTAATAATGCAAATGAGACCGCAGCTCGGCCAAGAAGCGAGTCTCGATTAATTCCGGTTCATTTGAGGTAATTGTCGCTGCGCGCGTGCGGTCTGCGGTCTGCTGTGGCCGCAGCCTGCCACATCTAATGTCTAAAGCCTGTTAGGGTTATGGCTTCATGGGATTGTATTTAATAGCTGCTGTGAAATAAAAGTGTTAACTCTGAAACTCTAAATCTATTGATATCCGTGATATCCGGGGTTTTTCCTATCTTAGATCTTGTGGGCCCGAAAAAGGTTAGGGATCATATTACCTAAAGTAGGAAAAATATCATATAATTCTAAAAAAAATTCGAAATTGTATGTAACAATGAATGCTATACACCAAATAATATATACCAAATTCATTAAAAGACAGTCTAGATAAAAAAGTAGGTATTTTAACAGTATACATTATTTTGAATTCGCACTCTATCTAAGAAGCAGTAGTTAAGTAATTTAAATCTGAGATTGACTTTAAGAGTATCTAAGAATTTAAAACCACTATTTCATACAACAGTTACAACCTTTTTAAATGATGCTCCAAAGATATATAAAATTACATGGATCATTTCTTCCTACTTGCATTAAAAGTATTCAATTTATTTGAACTTGCACAAAGTTGCACGCGAGACAAAATAAAAAAGGAGTTCTTCAGCTCACGTAGCGGGTCCTACGGCGTAGCTACTACTTCGATCGATACTTATGCTACGCGACAACCTGCCGCTTATACTTTGTACCTACTTACGTCTCTAAGCTTTGAGGTTTTGACAAATCGAACAATATTTTACACCAATGTAAAACTTAATTCTATCTGTAAATATTTGAATTTCCATCTAATACGATCATTTTTCTTAGATTACATATTTTTAATAAAGTTCAGGTAATAGTTAAATGTCATGTCTTATATGATGTTAATGTAACCAACGAATAGTGGTTTCTTATATCGATTTGTAAATTACGACCATTGACGTACGATTAAGTCAGTCTATAAAAAACTCTAGTGTCAACCAATTTATATTTATTGGGTTCTAGTGACAAAATTAGCAATGATAATAAATATGAATTTTAAATAATATATTGTTGTTTTATGTATCTTTTTATACTAGCTTGTACATCACGTGTTTGCATTTAATGCTGCAAAAGAATATATGCAGATAATTTTAATGATAGATGCCACTCAAAATAATCCCGCCTTTCTCTATTGAAGGTGAATATATGCAATATCCGAAGATTATCTTTTTCCTTCATAATTATTGCCAGATTCGCATCTTTATAGGTACTGTCATCCATAAAATATCCTAGCAATAAAATATTATGGCTACTGATCTTTGAATTTTCATTAATTTTCTTTAGTAATAATAAAGAACATTAAGATCGTAAAATTATACCTCAGCTTGTTGTTTGAGTTGAATGAAAAAGTTGAATATAGATGAAATAAAGTTATATTAATTCAAGTGTAATATTATGTATTTTGTTAATTTAAAATAAATCTTCCACTCGCTATTACAAATTTCAAACAACACCAAAAAATGAGCACAGCGTGACTTAATTTGGATGAAAGAGACTCACTGCCTGACTACTTATTAACAAACAAAAAGGCATGTATTATATTTTATTTTTAAAATTATTATACTAACATTATTTATCCCATTATAAACTTTACATCCCCGGGTCCGTAAGCACTGCTATTGTATAATATTAGCATATAAATAAAGTTAAAAATAAAATCGAAAATAAAATCTCCATCCTTTTTAGAGGCACAGAGAGAGAACTTACTATTCTTTATTGGCATATAAAATTAATGAAAATTAAAATAAAACCTTAATAAAACAGTAACAATTTAGACTATAATAGAATAAATATTTGTATGACTAAAACCGATTGACTGAAAAAAAAACAAATAGACAATATTTTTATATAAAACCACTGTTATGTGATACATATTTATCAGAAACATTTCGTAAACGCTTCCAACCGCACAACAATTACACATAGGAGGGGTGGGACGAAAAATTTGTGCCCCGCAAACGAAGGCAAGGCAGCTAGTTATAGCTATACGCGTGTTGCACAAAACGTAGGTACCGAAGGGGAGGCGTCTCCTCAAGGGGAGACAAAAATGGCCGACAAAACCTGCACCTTGCTCCTACAACCTACTTATATTACACATTAAATTATAACTGATTTTGATATCTATGAACAGATTAGGTACTTTATAAAGTCATGACTGTACAGTGCATTAATTGTTACGATAATTAATTAAGGTTGATAGTTTTAAATTAATATCGTTTCTAAAGTGTTTTATTATTTACAGATTAAACAATTACATGCTGCCCTATTAGATCGCCCTGTTTGATCATTCGTTGGGTTTCTATAATGTAGTCGTACGTAAGAATCACGAAATTCTATTAATAAAAGACCTTGGAATTATTTGGGGTGGTTATTCATATTTTAAATATAAAACTGATTCTCCAGATAGTTCTTGAAACGATTGTTTTAAACAATTCGACTTGTAATTGTACAACAATACAAAAAAACTCCTTCTTCTGTTTTAAGTGAGTTGCTAACAACGCTAATGTACAAGCTGACTGTTTTAACATTGTTATAAGGAAACAAATTTGTAAAAAATAGACTACTTCAAACTTATCTTAATCTCGACAATTAATCATTTCAGGAATGAAAAGAACATTTTTATCTATGAAATGATGATTTTTCTAGTCATGGCTTGTTACATTTTTGACATCGACAATGTATTAAAACGATAATCTGCAAAAAATGCATTAGTCTACAATACGCTTAGCTTAGGAGCAAACCCTTGATAAACTAGGAACCGGTTTCCTTCTTTGCTACGTGTTGATATTTAATTCAGAGTTTACTGCAATACGTGACGGAGCTCCTAGTTTACTAACAGTCAGTGTTATCCCTTTGAACCTGTAAGCATTTTGTTTACTGTTTTACACGGCTATTTCACAAACTGCAATTAGCTTACTAATTTTATTATCGAACCCAAGATTCACTAGCTGCAGTAGGTGTTTTAGAATAAAATATTCATTTAATTTAAAAAGTAACAACTTATATTAATTAAGGGAATTTGCCATGAAATTTCTGTAGTAACGAGTAATTGTACATGTTTAGATGATAGTACAAAAAATGCTATAACTGAAAGTATTAACCATTGTATGGTTAATACTGTCAGTTATAGCATTTTTTGTTTGTTGTTAAAGAATAAAATCGATACAAGATTCATGAATTGCATAATTATTCAAGGTATCAAGTTTTTTAAATAGTTTTTAATGACTTTAGTACAGTAAATATTTCACCTATTTTATTTTTCCGCAGCTGGCCTACCCTACAAGGTGTACGGCGGTCATGAAGGGTCCCTGACAGAAAAGCGTAAGCAACGTCGGATCCGAACTACATTTACATCAGCACAGCTTAAGGAGCTAGAAAGAGCCTTCCAAGAAACTCATTACCCCGACATATATACTAGAGAAGAAATCGCCATGAAAATTGATCTAACTGAAGCGAGAGTTCAGGTTAGTTCATCCTTTATTCTTTAGATCTACACTTTTAAGGTATTAAGTGATTTTAATTATTTTGGATTTGAGTACTTAATAGTCCCAAACACGCGTTGTTCAAAGAAAATAGTCTCCGTTTAAAGACTCTTTTTAAGTCAATTGAAGAAAGGATGCCAAATAAATGTCTATATTGAGTATTTTGTAATTAAAATATCATACGATTTTAAATTGTAAATAACAATAAATTATAGAAAGAGAAATTTAAGATGGAAAGAGAGATAAGGAAATAAAATATTATTCACAATAGAATGATATTTGAAGTCTAAAATATTAGTTTTCTTAGACATTACAGGAGTTAAACTGAACAAGAATGCAGAACTTAGTTTCTATTGTACTCATTCAAAACTGTGTATTAAGTTATATTGATGTATATCACATAGCCTGATGTTTATAGCTCTTTGATTCAATGTTCATAAAACCAAAATAGAGATAAAAAGACGGATTTGGGAATTATTCTCACAAGGCTTAGTAGGTTTGAAAAAAAATGGTTGCCCGCATCGTCCGTCACTTTTCCGCAGTCCAATTAGCGTCCAGTAATTCGTGCTCGGCTGACGGGCGGCGCCTACGTAAAAAAAGCGAGCAGACATCGTGCGGTTAGCTATAGTTAATTTCATAATAAGCGTTCATTTTTATGTGAGTCAGATCCACGACGTGTGCGGTGTTCTTCGTGAATGTTTAATGCAATTCGGAATCGGGCGAAACTGGTTTGCAACAGTCTTATAGTTATCTGATCACGTATAAGCGCCGGAGACTCGCGACCTGATCACGTATTCTGGAATATGACGCCCTCGGCGCAACCGACACTCTTATTGTCTCAACAACCCAACCTACATGTTCTAGTTCCCTTTTATAATCGTGATACGAGTTTATTATCTAGTATTATACTAGTTAATATTTTCTATTTGAATGTTAGTTTGTATAGGAATAATTTAAAGTAAGTATGGTTGAGTATATAGGTGCTGCGTAATGGATAAACAATCGCGTTTGTATACAAGCGGGTGGCACCCTCCCGCGGCAACGAGCGCTCATTACGTTAAAAAGTGTATTGGAATGGTGGGGTGCCGCCATAAATATTGCGGGCGGTCGCGTAACTCAAGCCCGCGCGACTCCTGATAATTAAAACTCGCCTGGAAAATACGAATTCACATATTACAATTAACACCGGATAACTGCAACGAGCGGGTTGTTTTCGGTAAATAAACAAATATCAATTTAATGTTGCATTGTATTTTATATCTACGAGTATAATTAAGCCACGGCGTGGTTTAAATTTAAAAAACCAGTGCAGGGAACGGAGTTTTAATTGATTTTATATTTACAAAGGTTTGTGAATTACTAATTAAATGTAAAGTTCAACTACTACTTTATGTATATATTGCTGAAATTCCACAAAGGTTACCAAAAATACACAAGATGTGGTCACCGCAAAATTTAGATAAAGTAGGTGCTAGGAATGGCGCGAACGAGTCCTAATTTAACACGAGGCTCGTACCCAAATTCATCAAAGACAAAGCGCAGTGCAGCGCAACAGTGCTCGTGGGCAAAAGCGTTAAGCAAACGCATATTTTGCAGTAAGCCATCCCGACCGGCGTGAAATAAAAAGTTGGCCAACTGCTGTTAGAGTAAAAGGAATCACTTGAAAAATGACCAGCTGCTTTTTAATACAGAACGTATTTTTTCTGTGCCAACGTTGTCATAGGGATAGGGCAATTTAATCCATCAAGCGGTGTTGCACGGTAGCGTCCGAGTCAATAAATTCTATATTATCACAGACGATTTTGGTTTTATTGTTATCCCAGTGCGCCGCGAAAGATTAGTTCGAGTTGAGACAGGGACAGAGTAGGGCCAGGGGTTATTTTTATTGTTTAAATCATTTATTTTAGTTACCGTCTTTAGAATGATATAAAAGAAATGGCCCTCGGCTAGTCTGTGTATGCAGAAAATAATGGAAGGAGCAACTTTTTATCTCTTGGCACAACAAGTAATTCTTCGTACACATTTTACAGAACCTAGTTGAAGAGGATGGGTACTAAGTATTTGCTGAAAGAAATAGTAAAATCAATTGTCTATGCCTATAAACATTTTAAATTAACAGGTAGTTTTTGTTGAACTAGATTTACCTACACTAGGTATTATATAATCACTCCTTGTAAATGCGAAAGTATTTTTCACGAAACTCTTTAGGTAAAAGAAAATACCCCCTCAGCTAAACTAGTTAGAAATTGCATTTAATGTAGATATATTTATGATTTATTAGGCATTGCAATACTAAACATAACTTATAGTCTGGTCAGGGGACACCTGATAGAGGTCGAGCTCTGCTTGTGATGTAAGTAATAAAGATTGACATGAAACCGCCGGGGACGCGACGGCAAAATGTCAATCCAGCGTTCGATCTTAGATCTTGCGCTTACACTCCTCAGGGACCGAATGGTGCAACGTCTGGTAGTAGCTTCAGAGTAATTGATTTTATGCCCCAAGCTGTCCGGATGTTTTGGTTGAAGATATTCATTAGTTACTCCCACCTATTAATCAGTGTTTCACCAAACAAATGCAAAATTTGATTAGGTGTAAAGTGTGTTTGAGTAAGAGTAACAGTAAATGGGCATGTTATAGCCTTTAAGTGGTTTTTGAAAATGGAACTAAAGTTGATATGAATACTGAGCTTCATGGCTTTGTTGTAGTCAATGTCATGACAACATGTCATCCTTGCTTGCTAAAACTCGCATCCGGACTTGATAAAGAGTACTAATTCAGAGTTAGATGCCAGTTATTAATTTTGTTCATTAACTCTAATTAAAACTATTTTTAATTAATATTATCAATTCTAAAATCTGTTCTATTGATTAACGTTAGCTATATCTGTTTTTAGGCTCTCAACTACTATATAATAATTACTATAAATTACTATTATCTGGCAAAGAAATAACAACCCTATTTATTATTATATTTATTAATGAAAGGAATGACCTTCTAAATCAACTATGACACCTTGGCCTATTTATTTAAATATACTATTTTTTTCAAGAGTTCTTGAATGGAGTAAGAGCTTGTTATTTTAAGACACCTTTTTGTTCACTACAATAACAAAATCAGATGCTGTTATTCTAACACAGATTCGCATGAAAGTAATTTTGTCTACTGTGTAAACAGTAGCCCTTTTGTGACGTGCTCCAGCGCAGGTGTCACACGCGCCGGTCACGTGTCGAACCCGTGCCGTCTCCTTCCCACAGATCGTTGATTGGATACACTTGCCGCAAATGTTTGTCGCTCACTGCACTTCAAATGGGGAATAAAACTACCATTGTTCACTTCAAATGAGTTTTATGGTGCGATGGAACCATAATAACGTTGTTGTTCGGATAACGATATCTGGAGATGCAATGATTTAGCACTTAAATGTGCGACAGATGAAATATCTGTATGCATTTATGCTTTTATGAATGAGTAAGATCAATGAAAAGAAAAATAAATGAATATAACAAACAATATTATTAGTAATACAATTTCAATTGTTTAAGTTGGGTGTCTATTCTATAGCTACGAGTAATATAGCTGATCTCTGTGATCGATTTGAAAAAGGAGGTTCCATCCTTTTTTTTTGTTACATACAAAAGCAACAATTCTACAATCTACCATGACAACGAAATTTAATGTTTCTTATTTCGATAGAAAAGATATTCCTCCGAGATGAGCATGTATTAAAAAAAAATCTTCTCTTATACTAATCACACAACAGGCAGGCAGACACGCTGGAGTCACAGGATTGATTCCCGCTTAGTGCAAATATTTCTATTTAGATTGATCTAGGTGTTTTTATATATTACAGTCCGTGTCCTAGAACTCATCATGTTATGACTTAAGGAATATTTTCAGTGACATCACTAAGGTGCATCAAGTTGTAATATAAAAAAATATATTTTAATAATAACTAGTGTCGTTCAAAATAAGTTTTCCAATATAATTTTCATCAAGTGTTTATAATATAAATGAAGAGCGTTAAGTAATGGACCGGTTTAGTGTTAACCCTTAGTTAATCGCGTTGATTGCTTCGGTTGGTACGATAAAAGCTGATTAAGTAATCACTTAGTGGCGGGATGCTCTTGTCTAGTGACTCGTGCCCCGTCGGTACTGCAAGGGAGGTTGTGTTGTGTGCCATCGTACTTGATGTCTGCTTTTAGGGATGATATTGTTTGGAATACTTTCTTTGCGATAGTATCTGAAATATTAAATATAGTTTATATAGGTATTTTCAGATAACATTGAGAAACATTAGGCGATAGGCTGATGATAAAACTAAACAAAACTTTTCTATGGATTGTATCTTTATACGAGTATATCTTAAAGACCTTTCGTAATACATACATACGTAACTGAGTAGGTTAACACATTGAAAAGTTAAGCAATGCTAGCCAGGTCAGTCTATGGATGGGTGACCATTCTTAACAATGTGGCAATCTTTACGGGTATTTGGAGCCCTGAAAAGACAGCTAGAATAAAACAAGCGACCCCTGACATGGCAATCGAATGTTCTACCCTTGCGACACACAGGTCATCAAAATGTTTCGCCAGTTTAGTAGTATTATTTATAACTATGAAAAATAGCCTTAGTTACCCCTTACATAGACAGCTACATGGTAGCAAAATATTATCAAAATCGATCTAGCCGTATAGAAGATCGAGTAATCTTCGGGTAACAAACAGACACAAAAAATATTAAACTGGTTTTTAGGCATCGGTATCCTGCAAATAACCGTGTGAGCATAAAAAAACTTTTTATTTTGACATTACAAACAGACACATCAATTTTATTTATTTGTATAGATTTCATAACAAAAGAATGTCCTAGTAATCAAACCACATCACTATTATAATTTTACAAATATTTCTAAGCGTCTATTTACGGTATGTCAGTCTAGTCAGAATAACATCAATTATTAAACAATACGAGTAAATACGAAATAAACACATCAGTTTATTAGAAACAATTTTCTCCTTTGTAGTATTTTAATTCGAGGGTGTGATATTTGATACTGTGACAAGGGCACATCAGCGAGAAGCATAGCCCGTGGGAAGAGCTCGGACGATTGCGCACGAGCACCGTGTCGCGCTAATCCCACGTCGTCTGATCAAGCGATAATCTGCCTGTCTAATCGATTAATATCTGTTTCAGTTTCACACGATGTTCTAACTAGATATAATTTGTATAAATCAAAATATATATATATATATATAGATGACATTTAAGAATACTTGGCAACCAATTTGTGACTTTTCTCAGTGCATGTTTTCAGCACATTTTATTAAAATTTAATATCAATGTTACTGGAGTACAATTGAATTATATATTAATTATAAATAAAAAATGTCGAAATTTATCTATAGTAATATTACGATATAAACGTTTTTTTTATTTCCTAATGACATTTAATGAAAAGTATAGAGCTTGCGTTTGTAACCTGTATTTTACATTTTTTAATATAGATCATTACATATTCACAAAAAAAACCATTCAGTATAGCTGGGATCCGAGGTGTGAATCTAATTGTATTCAAATATGTGATAATGCAAATATATCTAAACCTAGGTTGATATATCATTGATTAGAAGTGTCTTGGTTTTTTTTTTATTTTTTATTTTTTAAAAGACAACTCCCGCATTAGGAATATATCCTGTGTCGCGGGGGACTTTACAAACATACATGACGGACACAAAGAACACCC